AAAAAAAAAAAATAGTGTCCTGACTTTTGTCTGATGGACATGTTAGTATTCATTCTCTTAAATTTATTAGGTTGGAGTGCCAGTTGGTTCATCAGAAAGCAGAATACTTAGATTATATTATAGTAACTCATCCATAGAAGTTCTCTGCACTTCTGAGAGTTAGAAAAGGAATCCTTTGTATAAAGAGTGTTTCTGCATTTTTCACAAACCACAGTTGAAGACATTATGCATTGCCACTCATTGTCCTTTATGCAAAGACCAATTTCTTTCTTTCTTTTTTTTTTTTTGAGTTGGAGACTCAGTGTTGCCCAGGCTGGGCTGGAGTGCAGTAGCATGATCATGGCTCACTGCATCTTCGACCTCCTGGGCTCAGGCGATCATTGCACCTCTGCCTCCAGAGTAGTTGAGACACAGGCATGTGCCACCACGCCTGGCTAATTTTTTTGATTTTCTGTAGAGATGGAGTCTTACTGTGTTGCCCAGGCGGATCTCAAACTCCTGGGCTCAAGCAGTTCTCCTGCCTCAACTTCCCAAAGTACTGGGATTACTGGCATGAGCCACTGTGCCAGGCCACAGATAATTACTTTCTTCTAGAAAAAGTTCTTCCTCATAGATGATTTCTTTAGTTCCTGTTGTTTGACAGTGAAGAAAGTAACCTATTTTGAGCCCTGTCTTTCAGGCTTTTCTCATTTGCTAGCTCATTTAGTCCTCAAGTCCTTCATCTTATGGGGCCTTTTTGTTTTTCGTTTGACACTTGAGGGATTAGAAAGAAGGAACATTGCTTGCTCACCCCCTGGATTTGTGCTTCTAAGGATGGTTACAGTGTTGCGCTCACCGGTTTATATTCCATGTTAGCATGAAGGCAGGGCCTTTGTCTGTCTTGTTCTCATCAGTGTCCTCAGTACTGGGCGGGCCCTTACTAGGTGCTTGGTAAGCTCTGTGAAGTGAAGGAATGAATGAACAAGCATCCTGACTCACTGTGGTCTCCTCCTGGTAAAGAGTAGAGGCGGAATTTGAACCCATATCCTTCTGGACCATGCCTGTGAACTTTCCGTTTTGGCTGTACTTCTCAACCTGGGATACTCATTCCCCCTCAGGCTGCTTGCCAGGAAGGAGGGAGGCATGTCCTCTGTGATGGTACATTTTACTGGAAATTTTTTTTTATTTAAAATAATACACATGTGTTTTGGAGTAGAATGCAAAATTGGCATGAGTTATGAAAATAAAACAGGAGGGCCAGGTGCAGTGGCTCATGCCTATAATCCCAGCACTTTGGGAGGCAGAGGCCAGAGGATTGCCTGAGTCCAGAATTAGAGACCAGCCTGGGCAACTAGGAGAGATCTCATCTCTCCAATAAATCAAAAAAATCAGCTGGGTGTGGTGACGTGTGCCTGTAGTTCCAGCTACTTGGAAGGCTGAGGCAGAAGGATTGCCTGAGCCCAGCAGGTCGAGGCTGCGGTAGCTGTGAGCTTGCTATTGCACTCCAGCCTGGGTGACAGAATGAGACTCCAACTCAGAAAAATAAAATACAATAAAATTAAATAAACAGGAGAGATATTTCCAGGAAATCTTGGACTTACAGCAGTTCTTTACAAACTATACCCAGACCCATGTTTACTACATGAATTCATGTACTATTCTGTCTGGGATACATTTGTGGATAAGTTTGAGAAGCCTGCCACATTGTTCCACTGTCTCAAATTGTGTTCTATTTGCCAAAGATTCTATCTTTGGAGTCTCATATGAGTTGTAAGCTCAAGGCTGTGTGTGACTCCCTTTGTTCTAGTCAGTGAAGAGGAAGATAGTTGGAGAACACTGTAGTGTCCCTCATAGAGAGCTTGCCTTATGTGTTTGTGGCTTTTTTGTGAGTACCCTGAAATCCTAATGTTGAAACAACACAGGCCGTAATGTGGCCTCCTGCTTATCCTTCCACATGTTTTTTTTTAAGCTGTAACACATTTCCGCTGCTAAAACTACCACATGCATGATTGTAAACAACCAGAAGTAATTGCCTTGGAATGTGAAAATCAAACTGCAGAATTGCTTATAAATTTGCTTGGTAGAGGGCAAACAATTTTTAAATCAGCCCCACTTGTATGACATTTATGCCTTGATATTTGAATGCTCTGGCTGTTAGAAGCTTGGAGTATTTACATAATTGTTCCAAGTCTTGAGAAATCCAGATCTTTCTTTTGAGACCACCAGTGTTTAATAATTCCCTTTTCCCTGTGCCCTGAGGCTAATGAGGTTTTTGAATCTAACATCTGCGTGTTTCAAGTATTGCATAGTCAGCCTGTACTGGAAGCAGTTTCCCCATTGTCAATGATCACAGGTCCTGTATTTTACACTGTTTCTTTTCTTTCTTAATCTCTTGTCTTGAAGAACATTGAGCTCAAGGTGGAAGTCGAAAGTCTGAAGCGGGAGCTCCAGGAGAGAGAGCGGCTGCTCATCAAAGCCTCGTGAGTACCTGTCATCCTGTCAAAAGCCTGCAGGTCGCCCAGGGCTTCTGATGGCGGGCGCTGGGTTGGTCAGTAAAATAGAACCATACGCTTTTCTAAGCCAGTTTTTCCCGAACTGGGCTCTGAGGCCTCCAGGGATGTTTTTGTTTTACTTTATCATTGACTTTTCAACAAACATTTGAAGTGTAACATACTTATAGAAAAACAAAGAGATCTTATGGGTATAATATGATGACTTTTCACAAAGCAGAACCACCATCGAGATCAGGAAACTGTTACCAGCTCTCTCAAAGCACTCTTTGTGCTCTCAGAAGTTACCTTTTCTCCCCAAAGATAACTACCACTCCAACCACTATTATCACTATTCTCTGTTTTTGAACTTTATATAAATGTTTTCTTGTGTCTGGTTTCTTTCTTCAGCAATATATTTGTGAGACTCATCTATATTGTTAATGTTATCAGTAGTTCACTCCCATCGCTGTAAAAACCTGGGAACTTGAGGGTTCTTGGTGGGTGAGGCAGAAAAACTCCAGGTGGGGCTTCAGCCAGAGTAATTTTTTAAAAAATCTGTTATAGGTGCTAGGGTCCCTTGTAATATTTTGTTTGAAAGGGGTTCTCCTGCTTAAATAAGATTTGAAAACTGTATTTTTTAGTAATTAATTAAAACAGAGGTTCAGAGGTTGCAGCCAATTGTGAATCAATTGGTTATTCACTTATTCCTAAACGTTTATTATGTAATTATTGTGCCACACACTGAAGATCTGAAAAGAGATACCCCCTTACTCTGAGAGCCCATCAGAGACTAGGGAGCTATCCATCACACCATAAACAAATAGAATCTAATGGAGGTGCAGTGATGGAGGGGGTTTGTGGGTAAAGTGGGGACCCACAGTGTGCTCGGGTTTGCTCCATGAGAGTGGAATGAGACTTCCAGGCTGGGCCGCCAAGGATCTGGATGGAAGCTTATGTGGAAATGCTCCATTTGTCCTGGCAGCAGAGCTCCTGCTGGGTGTGATGGGTCAGGAGCAAGGAGTCTGGCCTGGGGCACAGCTGCCTTTCTCTGGGCCAGGCCAATATAATTTCCTCATTGTCACAGGGTCTAGTAGCTGGAAGTTGGCCTGCTGTTGGCTTTGAGCAGAGAAGAGGATGCCAGGACCATGCATCTTTTCTGAGTTATGCCGAACTTGCACACATGCTATTCTGAATGAGTAAATGAAGTAATATAACCGGATTAACAAATTATCATTGTTGTTTTGAAGCACATCATTTTATGGATGGGAGACCTAAAGATCAGTAATAGAATGTGTGCCCTGCCTGCTGCAGGTCTTGGCTAAGACTTGTTTTTAGCTAAGCTTGTACATGTGGAAACCTCAGCCTACAGAGGCTTGTGTGCACTCCTTAATACCAGTACACAAGATTGAGTGTTTTGGTGCTTATGCACAAGTTTGCATGTGTATATTTCCCAAAGTGCTAGGCCTAGTGTTCAAGGCCCTTTGTGGTATGAACAACTTTATTTATTTGTTCAGAAAATATTTAAGTAGTTGTTGTGGGCTGCACTGGACTAGGTTCCTAGGGATACAGTGGTGATCCAAACAGATAATGAGGCTTACATTCTAGTAGGGAGTAATGGTGATAAAAAACTTGCAGTAATAAATATATACATACAAATTAGGAAAAGAGCTATGAGAAACATGATGTGAGCTGTGAGAGTTTATAGCTGTAAAAGCAAATCTATAGAAGTGGATATATATATAGCAGGGAAGGCGTCCCTGGGGAGGTGGCATTTGAAATGAGATCTGAAGGATGTGTAGGAATTAACCAAGTGAATGGGTATAGAAAAATTGTTCAAGCAGAAGGAGATGTATGGGTCTGAGGAAATAAGAGAAGTCTAGAACACTAGAGATTTTGGCCTTTATCTTAAGATTAAGCAGATAGCAGTTGTGGGTTTTAAGCAAGTGGCACAGACAGAGTCCTGGTTTTGAAAAGGTCACTCTGGATGCTGCATAGGAAGTACATCATGGAGGGTCCTTGAGTGGAAGCTGGGAGCTTACCCAGGAGCTCGTCCAGTAATTGAGGTGAGAGGTGAGGGTGGTGTGGGTTGGTGGATCAGAAAGACATTTGGAAAGTAGAATCAACAGGCTTTGGTGATGGATGGGAAGGGAGATGTCAGGAGTGGCTCCTGTCTGAGGTTAATATCACGAGCTCTTAAGAATGTACACAGTGACTTAACCATTCCAACTTCCTCTCTACCAACTCTTAATATCCCAAACACAGTTCACAGATGCTAGAATGTTCTTGCTTTTGCTGCTCTACCTTTGCCCCGTCAGACCTCTTCCCCTTCTCATCTGCTCCCAGACCAAAGCCTCTCCATTGCCCAGCCCTTTGTGAAGAAAGAAAGAACACAGGCTACGAAGCTGGACAGATCTTCCACACATGGCTTTCTCTAGCCCACATCAGTATCTTGACAGACTTCTCTGGCTTGTAATCATAATCTCCTGTGTGTAGCGCTTTCGGTTCATAAAAGTTTCACATTCATCACATTCCATCATTATCTTAGGTGCTAGGCAAATTTTGAGGATTACCCTCATTTTATAAGAGGAGGGAATTTAGGCTGGAGAAGGGAAGGGCCATGACTCCTAGCCAGAAAAACTAGAGCTGGGATGAGAACCCAAATTCCTGACTTCTAGTCTAGCACTAGGTTTCATGTTTTTTCTTAACATTAAAACAATTTTTTCTTTCTTTTTTTTCTTTGAGTTGGGTGTCTTACTCTGTCACCCAGACTAGAGTGTAGTGGCATGATTACAGCTCACTGCAGCCTCGACCTCCTGGGCTCAGGTGATCCTTTCTTTCCAGCCTCCCAAGTAGCGGTACTATAGGTGCGTTCTACCATGCCTGACTAATTTAAAAAAAAATTGTTTTTGTGGAGATGAGATCTCGCTCTGTTGCCCAGGCTGGTTGAACTCTTGGGTTTGAGCAGCGTTTGACCTCCAAAAGTACTGGGATTATAGGTGTGAGCCACCATGCTTGGCCTATCATATATATTTTAAAAAATTTTATGTGTAGACATAGTATATGCACAATATCTATGTATCTGTCGAGTGACAGTAACTACTGTGGAACTGCTGAATATGACTTTCCCTTTACCCTCAACTATCTAGCACCCAACATTATGTCTATAGTAGTTACTTGTAGATGGAAAATATCTTTATTAATATAATGCCCTCAACTCCCTTTTTCAGTGTTATGATTTTTGGTGGGACGTGAGGGTAGGATATGGGACCTGTCACAGGAAAAGCCCTTGCTGTTTCCTAAAGAACTGTATTTAGAATGGAAAGAAATCAAGAGGAAATGTTGAGGGCTAAAAAGAGCAGTGTGGCTCATGTTTACGGAAGGTTCTTTTTAGTATTGGGTGGAAGACTAGATTGGACCAATTTCTCCCAACCTTTCCACTCTGTCTATCTTGTCTGTTAGCCCAGATTCGGCTCAAAGGGAGGGCACTAAGAATTTTTGAGATGCTACCCTGTTCCAAACTCTGTGTCTGGCACTTGACATACTTTATTGCATTTGATCTTCGCAACAATCATGTGAAGCAGCCAGCATTCCCTTTGAGTAAAAAGAAAACTGAAGTTCAGAAGCATGAGGATCTTGCCCCAGTTGGTGGCAGAGCTGGGGCTGGTCTGGCTCCAGAACTCACTCAGCCTTACTGTGAAGTAAACATTTGTTTGCTGGTTTTCCATTGTTGTATTTATCAGTTACAAGAAGGGGACATTAAAAACAAAAGCAGTCATATTGTTGGAAGTAAATTTTTATCTCTATAGCTTTAAAACACAAACAAAAATAATAATTCCATTAGTAGAGGAAAATTGCAGCATACTGCTGAGTGTAAATTTTATTGCTACAGTTAACTGTAAAATACAAAGATGATAAATGACAAGTTGGAACATTTATTATCGGGAATATATTTTATTGGTTAACTAAAATACAAACCAACTGAATAATACCAGTACTTGTTAAAAATTGTAGTCAGCCCCTTGACAATGTATATGATTCAGACTATAAAACACAAAGGTTAGATCTGGGCTGATAGGAGGGAGACAGTATATTTGCATTCTGGTGGGCAGGGGTGTGGAGGCATGAGAGTAGGGGTCATAGAAGTGAGCCATTTAATAGAGGAGGTTCTAGAAAGCCCTAGGGCTAACATGGGGGTGGGAAGCAGAAATTCATTACTGGAAAAATCCTATATCCAATTCTCAGGAAGGAGGGGCTTCTAGTCCAGAATCATTATGGCCATATATAATGCCCCTCTAGGAGTGACAGAAATGATTGTGAGTCACTGTGAATTTGAGACAGTACTGATCCAGAGATGAGCCCAGGGAGTGGGAGCTGAAGATTTTTTTTTTGAGTTGGAGTCTCACTCCATCGCCCAGGCGGGAGTGCAGTGGCACACTCACCGCCACCACCCAGCATCAACCCATTGGACTCCAGTGATCCTTCCACCTCAGCCTCCCAAGTAGCTGGAACTACAGGCACGCACTACCACACCTGGCTAATTTTTAATTTATTGTAGAGATGAGGTCTTGCTGCCCAGGAGGGTTTCGAACCCGCGGGCTCAGGCAATCCACTCACCTCAGCCTCCTAAAGGCGCGGGATTACAGGCTGAGCCACTGAGCCCGGCTCTGAAGATGTTTAATGGCATTAATTAGGAAGTGGATTGGCTGCCTTGGTTCTGGCCAGAGGAGACCCCAGCAGGGGTTAGCATGAGGCCTCTCACAGCAGCTGAGCAGGGGCTAGTGCTGTGTTAGCCTCAGAGGCCGCAGGCTGACATTCATGTCAGAGACAACAGACCCCACATGTGTGTTAGCACGTTACTTCTAGGAGGTAATCATCTCATTTTTCACATGAGGTGTAAGAGCTAATTTACTGAGGCTAGGTAATATACCCAGAGTCACACTGAGGATATAATAAAAATGTGGAAGATATGTCCAGCTTCGTAACCTGTGTTCTTTCTTTACAGTTGTTCACATTGAATTCCATTAAAATGATATCATAACACAGGGGCCTTCTGAAGTCTTACTGGTGAAAAGGAAAAAGATATGAATAAAGTCTTTATTTGCAGGCAACTCATGTTTGAGACTTGGACAACAAGTATGGTCCTCTTGACTTTCCATTGTTCTCAGAAAAAAATTCACATGGTCTGTCTGATCACATGGCTCTTGGTTGGAAAATTTTTATATATCCCTAAAGTAGGGCATGGGAGGCTTGTGGTGAATAGATTTATTCTGTTTCAGCTTTTCTGAGAAACCAGCTTTAGGTGGAAGCAATTCCTTTATTATTCTGCCTTCTGGAAACCTGTAATCATTTAAGAAATCTGATGAGGACTACTTCGAGTATAAGTCTTACAGATTCATGTCTGGTGCTGTTTTTCTTCTGGCGTCAGTGGTTGTGGTCCTGTGTCTGATTTTGGTGTGCTGTCCCACCACTGCTGGTCGTGTGGAGAGAACACTCCGTGGTGCCACAGCGATGTGCACTCTGTGTTTATGTTAGAGTAACACAGAGTGTAGGCTGCTTGTATCATCTCCCCTCTTCATTCCCTGAGTGGCAGCTTGTGCTCAGATTGATTATGCTGCATTTGGAATGCTTTCCTCTTCAGTTAGCAGAAGATGAAGCATACAGACTCTTAATCCTACAGATTTACTTTTATTGCATACTGCTTCTTTGCACCTTGGTTTGTCAGACTAGCTCTCCACTCTACCTACACCACTGGTGGCAGTGTACTTCGTTGGAAGCCTCCTGGTGGGAAATTGGGTAGTAGCTATCAAAAAAGTCTTAAAAGTATGCTTGTCTTTTGACTTAGCAATTCCCTTTCTACGAATCTATTCTCAGGAAATCACTGGACAATAGACATGTATTTATCATAACATTACTTATTGTAATAAACAATAATATTAACGTTTATTGAATGCTTACTTTGTACTAGGCACTGTTCTCAAAACTTTATGGCTGTTATTTGACAACATGTTAAGTGAGGAACCATTTAGATGTTTGAAAAATAGATAATTAATTTAATACATTATAGTATATTTCATTATATTTCATTTAGATGTTTGAAAAATCGATAATTGACCATTTAGATGTTTGAAAAATAGATAATTAATTTAATACATTATAGTATATTTCATACAGTGAATTAATATGTAGCCTTTAAAAATGATGATATAGACCTTGAACAATTATTGTAATACTGTAAGAAAAGGATTGTCAGTAGTGGGAAATTGCCGGGGTGGAGGGGTTGGGGATTGGCAGTAGTGGGATTCTGCCGGGAAGGAGGGGTCACACCTCATCAACAAGGGTCCTGCATAATGAACATTTGTATACTTACCCCTGAATTGTACCTCACATCTTTAAAATAAAAAATGATGATATAGATTTTTGTATTTGCTGACATAAAGGATGTTTATAGTATATTAAGTAATAAAATCAGTTAACTGTTACATAATCAATGGTTGCATTTTTGTAGAAAATGTCTGAAAGGCTGCCGGACTTGGTGGCTTAGCCTGTAATCCCAGTGCTTTGGGAGGCTGAGATGAGTGGATTGCCTGAGCCCACGGGTTCGAGACCCACCTGGGCAACTTGGCGAGACCTCATCTCTACAATAAAATAAAAAATTAGCCAGGTGTGGTAGCGCATGCCTGTAGTTCCAGCTACTTGGAAGGCTGAGGCGGAAGGATTGCTGGAGCCCAGCAGGTCGAGGCTGCGGTGACTGGGAACGTCCCACTGCACTACTGGTCTGGGTGACAGAGTGAGACTCCAACTCAAAAAAAAAAAAAAAAAAAAGAAAATGTCTGGAAGGCATTGACTTAGTTATCCTGGGTGATGAGATTCTGGTTGATTCTTACTTTTCCTAAGTCTGTGTTTTTAAATTCCAAATATAAGTTAAAATAAAAAGAAGTTCAGCACAGGTCTGTGGGAGAAATGATGAACAAATAGTTCTTGTGTCTTTGAGGCTGTTGAAATTACCATCAGACTGTTACTCTTATGTGTTTTACTCCTTTGCCTCTTTTTTGCAGCAAAGCAGTGGAGAGCTTAGCTGTAGGGAGTGGCTCTGAAATTCAGCGCGTGAAAGAAGATGCTCGGGAGAAGATGCAGCAGGTGGAAGATCTCCTCACCAAAAGGATACGCCTTTTAGAAGGGGTAAGGCTGGAAATCCCAAGGGGAATGTCTTTCTTACAGTGAATTACTAATGGGCACAATTTTGTTTATTTTTTTCATAAACTGTCAGAGTTTCAGCAGAAATCATAGTCACCCTTATTGAGCATCTCTTGAATTCTAGCCCCATTTCAGGCATTTTACATAAATAACATGTAAAATATACACCCTGCAAACTGACCAGTGTTGTCTTCATATCTGCATAGGGACACTGAGGTACAGAAAGAAATACTAACTCATCTGAGTTTTTTTTTTGAGTTGGAATCTCACTCTGTCGCCCAGACTGGAGTACACTGGCCGCTCCCGGCCACCGCAGCCTCGACCTGCTGGGCTCCAGCGATCCTTCCGCCTCCTTCCAAGTAGCCGGAATTACAGGCATGTGCTACCATGCCTGGCTGATTTTTTGATTTTTTTTATTATAGAGATGAGGTCTTGCCAAGTTGCCCAGGCGGGTCTCGAACCTGCAGGCTCAGGCAATCCACTCACCTCAGCCTCCCAAATTGCGGGATTACAGGCTGAGCCACCGTGCCTGAGCCCAGCTCATCTGAGTTTAATCCTGGATTTAAACCTGGTACTGCTGATTTTAAAACCATGATTTTTCTACAACACTACTCTGCTTATTATCTAGTTTAGTTCCTTTATTTTGAAAATGTGAAAACTGAGGGTCAGATAAAGGAAATGACATACCTAACATTAGCCAGGTTTCCTGACCTCAGGTTTCCTGACCTCAGACCACTGCTTGCTCATCTGGCTTTGGTCCTCAGTATCCAGCCTCCATCCACCCATCCTGTCCATGCTCATGGAATGTCCTTTTTCTGTTAGGCGCTGTGTGTAGCTTCTCCTTCTACTTAGTTGGGTATTTTCTGTGACTGTGATAGGAGTCAGAATGTTTCCTGACTCCCTAAAAAATCCTGTTTTCTAGATGTTAAAAAGTTTTCATCCATTTTAAGCCAGTATTCAGTAGTGCCATTTAATTCTTGGTCTTTGAAGTCTGTTGTTTCTCTTTTATTATTATTATTATTATTGTTATTATTATTATGATGATGATGTTATTATTTTTAAAAACCAGAACATTTATTATGTGACTAATCGTTGAAATCCTTAAGATGAACTGTATGTTGCAGCAGCTGTCCTCTTGGGCTTAGGGTTGTTTCCATGAAATCCATGCCTGAATCTTCAATATATGGTTTTTAGGTGCCTCATTCGACTAGTCCTGATGGTATTGCATCTTTTAGCCTTGGCACTCCAGTTACACTTTCTCTTGCACTTGGCAGGGTAGCCACATTTGCCACAAGTCTATTTCTGAAGGTAGTAGGCCTTAGAGCCACAGTAGCAGCACAGTGTATGTGTTTTGTCATGTGACTTTCCAAACAATGATGTTCCCTTTGTCGTCTTGCTTCTCTGCCCATGCCCAAAGCTGAAGTCTGTTGTTTCATCTCAATTTCTCTATCCGGTTCTTCTTAGAAGAAGATAAATGGCACCAAAAAGCACTGCTGGATAAAAAAAGCAAATTCTGTGTTTCGCAGCTTATAATTTTCCTTCACAATGCTCACATTAGGCCTTAAATCTTCTTCTTGGGGGCATGTAGATATTAGGTCCAAACTACAGGTGAGGAAACTGAGGCCCAAAGAGGGTGAGAAACTTCATCTAGGTCAGATATGGTAGAACTGGGACCATAAGAATCCTCTTATCCCAAATTCTGAATTTTTGCTAAGATCTAATTATGAGATGTAACCTGTTGGTTCAGTCTTCTTATTTTTCCTAGTAAGTGTTTTGAGGTACCAGATTTCTGCTCTGTTACTAGCTTTTTCACCTTGGATAAGGCATTTGCCTTTCCTGAGCCTCTATTTTGTCATCTGTAAATGAGGTTAATGATTCCTAATTTGCAGTAGCAATTGTAATAATAACAGAGGTACTAACAATTTATTGAGGGCTTACCATCATATGAGGCGCTCTTCTAAGCTTTTTATATATGCTGACTTAATCCTTTCACTAAACCCCTATGAGGTGAATACTTTCCTCATCCTTTTTCTTTCTTTTTTTGCTCAAGATAACACAGGCGGTAACTATCAGATAGTCTGACTGCAGACTTGCATTCTAAACTGCTATACTCTACTATCTCAGTATAAAACTTTTAGGGATGGGTAAGGCTCAAAGGTAATATGAATAAAGCTTCTTGCTCAGTGCCTGGCATTCAACTAATAATAGGCTTGGTTGTTTGTTATCTAAGATTGTGGGAAATTATTTTTCCAGCTTTCATTGAGATTGACAGGTGAACCCCTTGGGGAGGCAGTGGTGGGGGAGGTACTGTGGAGAGCAAGGGCAAGGAGGAAGAAGGCAACAGTATTTTGCGCTTCGTGTAATGTAGCAGGCATTCGACCAAAGTCTCCACGCCTGCTCTTTGATGGCATGGTGACTATTCCTATTGTATAGATCGAAAAGCTGGGACTCAGAGAGAGAGAGATTGACTACCCAAGGCGTATGGCAAGTAAATGGGAGAGCTGGGTTTCAAACCCAGTCCATTTTGACTTTTATCTTTGTGATGAAATCAGAGGCAGTTGGCATGAGTAGTTGGAGATTTATGTCTACTCCCAAGTCACTTTCATGAGCACCAGGGTCTTTTCTCCTAACACAGACACTACTTGTGTTAGCTTCCTTATTGACTTCTCTTTGCTCTTGAGAAGAACATGGAGGGTTTTTTTGTTTTGTTTTTTTTTCTCCACCTAAATCACCTTGGAAATACAAAATATACTTTAGAATTGTGTAGTCATTATCTTTAAAAAAGTAGTGAGGGGTGTGGTGGGGTGTGGGATGAATTTGTATGGAATTTCTTTGGAATTTATGTATGTTTAGTATTAAGAGGCGCATTTCTCCTTGTTCTCATTGACGCTGTAAATATTGCTCTGATTTTCAAAATCAAAAATACAGTTCTTGTAGCAGAGTTGAGTCTTTTCCATTGGAAATGCCTATTACTCTTCAGGGTACAGGAGGGAAAAATGGCTGGCAAATGTATTTATTACCGATTCTCTTCATGTATAGTACAATTCAGGGAGGGGAAATGTGCCGGAGAAAAAGTCATAAATATTTATATTTTAATCCAATTTCCTTTCAAAATGTTCCCAATTGTATTGAAAAATTGCATCAAATGCATTTAATTTAACTCTAGGATGTGAAAGCCGCCCAAGCAGAACTGGAAAAGGCCTTCGCAGGGACAGAAACAGAGAAGGCTCTTCGGTTGAACTTGGAAAGCAAGCTTTCAGAGATGAAGAAGATGCACGAGGGAGACTTGAAGATGGTTCTCGTCCTGGAAGAGAAAGACAGGTCTGGCTCTTGTCCCTGTGTTACCTTGACATTTCATTATTTGGCTGCGTGGGGAGAGGACTCTTCCCTTTCCTTTCCTTCATTCTCTCCCTTTTCTCTGTGTTCCCCATAGGACTTGAGTGACTTACTGGAATGTGCTCAACACAGTTAAATAGAAAACTAGGGTCTGGGTGCAGTGGCTCATGCCTGTAATACCAGCACTTTGGGAGGCTGAGGTGAGAGGAGTGCTTTGAGCCTAGGAGCTCAAGACCTGATTAGGCAACATAGCAAGACCTTATCTTTACAAAAAAATAAGCTGGGCGTGGTAGCACACACCTTTAGTCCCAATGACTTGGGAGGCTGAGACGGAAGGATCACCTGAGACCAGAAGGTCGAGGCTGCTGTGAGTTGTGATTATGCCACTCTACTCCAGCTTGGGAGATGGAGTGAGACCCTGACTTAAAAAAAAAAAAAAAAAAAGAAAACTAGAGATAAAATCAGAATGAAAAGAAAAGGAATGACATAACAATATGAGGAAAGAGATAGAGTCTACTGATATGCCTGAGTTCTACTCAGATACTAACCTTCCTAGTAGCCAAAGGAAAAAAGGAATGCAGTCTTGGAGGACACAGGATTCACATTGCTCACAAAGTAAGACAAGCCAGTAACTCAGGAAAAGCCCAGCTTTATGTGGTGCTATCAGAGGGAAATGTCTTGTGTGGGTCTTCCCAAAGGAAACAATGAGTGTCTACATCTCAACAATAAATATTAGTGAATTTTGTGTGACCCATTTTCTACCATTTCTTTTAATGCAGGCCAGGGCCAAAGTTAGTACGGTGCAAGGGGCCAAAAACAACATAATACAGACAAAATACAGAGCTCATCAACGATCCAAGATAAAATGTGTGCAATTTAGTGCAGAGAAACGAATGACCAATATGGCTTTTAGGCGATCTTTTATGCTCATCATATCTTGCAACTTAACTTGATAAAAACTTATCAGGAGCAAGTTCATTTTTTTATTTACCATGAACCTTATGTTTTGATACTCTTGCCTTGTTTTGACAGTCACCAAGTAGAAGGTTAACTAAATATAAATGGCACTACTGGCTAACCTGTGTCATGTCTGTTGAAGGGCCAACCTTGTTTGGAGTTTGATATTATAGAAATTGTTCTAAAGCAAATGATATGTTTTAAGGGTACTGATTGGTTCTGTTTTCCTGGTCAATTTGTGCTTCCTGCATTGATGGCCCACTATGTTGCTGAGTTGCTTGTGCCTAATTGCCCTGGTTTTTCAACTGTTGTTTGCTTTTACTTCTTTCTCGGTACCCCCTCCTGAGATTTGTCTGCTACTCCGAAAATCAGATGAGCAAACCTTTTAGGATATCTGTAAAAGTAGAGTAAACAGATACTAAGGGAGAGCTCATGTCCCTATTTAAGTGCCCTAGTTTCAGCGTTTGGAGGAGTGAGCATTTATTTGGTGCTCAGCAACCTTTTCTTAGCTTTGATCTGGAAAATAAAAGTTTTGCGATTAGTAATCTCAGAACAAGTGAGGAAACAGAATTCTCATGGCTCCAGTGAAGTGAATGAGTATCATCTTCATTTATCCGTTTGATACCTTATGTTTTTCTTGACTTCATGGTTAGGAGGAGAAACCTCCCTTAGGTGTATCCTCTTGCTGAGCCTCCCCCAGAGGCACTGGCCACAGAGAGTCTGGAGCCACCAGGCTGAGAAATTCCACACAGGTTATTTCTGTGTTCCTTTGTGTGTTTCCCAGCCATCAGCAGTGAAGCCTGTAGAAGGCCTGGGCTTGTCTTCCAGGGGGAACTACAGGTTCCCAGCAGTGCAACTGGGAGTAGTGGCCCAGGGAATGCGGTAGATACATGAACATCCGCCAAAGAAGAAATGATAATTCCTGGCACCTGTGAAGGGGAAAAAAGGAGAGGGCCTGGGATGGGTTTGAAAAGAGGTCCCGGGACAGATCTACTTGAAAAGATCTCATGAGGGTCCCGACAGATGCTGAGCTGTTAGTGTATTGGTTCTTTTGGATCATTATGCCCTTTATTTAACAAATATTTTCTGAGCGTCTTCTACTCAGCACAGTGGTGGTTACAATAAAGGAGTGAGTGATACAGACTCGGTCCCTCTCCCTAGGAATCTCATTGATTAAATTTAAGCTTATTATCTAGCTAGGTGGAAAGGGTGGAGGGCAGGAAAAAGAATGATAAGTACTAAATGGGATAAATGCTGGGCTAACATATTTATCTAACTCAGTTAGAGGGATTAGGAGAAGCTTCTGAGGGAAGTACTAGGTTGAGGAACAATTGCTTGGACAAAGAAAGGGACGTAAGGATGTTCTTGGCATAGAGAATAGTATGTGTGAAAGCTCAGAGGCAACAGGGAACAAACACAGCATGATCAAGGCACAGAAAGGTGTACAGCCCAGCCTGACCTGAGTGCTGTGTTCTGGAAAGGAGGAGGTGAGGAGAAGGAGTCTGGGGAGGTGACACAGGCCTTGTTGAGGAATTTGGATTTTATCCTAAAAGGCGTGTAAGAAGTCACTGAAAAGTTAAGGATGGGGCTTGGGGGAATGATAGGATGAGATTTAAATTTTGAGAGGTTCCTCTGGCTGCCCTTGGGGGATGGATTGGCACTGGGAGTGGGGAGAAGACTGGTTTTCAGGCTGATTCAGAAATCCAGAGAAGAGGTGACTGTGACCAGTGCAGAAGTGACCAAGGTAGGACTGGAGAACAGGCAGAGATATAAGGTGAAATGGACATGATGAACTTGAAGGGCTTGGTGACTGACTAGATTTGGGGATGAGGGAAAAGTTTGCAGTAACACTCCCTTTCCCAGGCTTCAGGCATGAGCAACTTGGGGAGATGGTGCAGTTTGCTGAGTCTGGAGGAAGAAAAGGGAGAAAGAAATGCTTTTGGGTAGAGGGAGTGGTAATATGATGCTTTTGGTTGGGACATGTTTGGTTTGAGGGGTGTGTGAGTAGAATCTAGGAGGTGGTGGGGTATATGAATTAAGCTTGGATTAAAGGAGATACAGTCATTCCTTAACCAACTACTCATCATGGCCCTGGGAATATATGCTGGACAGGCAGGGATGAACACTGTCCTGCTTACATGGATTTCCCAGTGTGGGAGAGGAGATAGATATTAAAAAAACATGTTGTGAATGCTGCAGTAGAGGTGAGTCCATGGTTCTGTACTGTAAGAAAAGCAAAGGAAGGGATCAGCTCTGGCTGGGTGTGGGGCTGGGGAGGAGTCCTAGGAGTTGAGCGAAGATATCTTGCTGAGCAGAGAGAGTGGTACATGCAAGTTTCAGAGCCTGGCCCATTTCAGGGCACTCGAGGAGAGTGCCCGTTGGCGTGGGCTGCAGAAACTTGACTTCTCGTCTTTTTTGGAAGAGGGAATTTGGAAAAGGTTAATGTTTGCTCAGTACTTCTGGTGGTCTATGTGGAAGGGTCTCCTTGGATGTGGGTGGTCTAGTCAGGGCTTTGCTAAAGGCTGTATCTTCCAGGGATTTCCCATAGGATTGGCTAGACAGTCACAGAAACCTGATTTGTCATTCCTGTGAATGCATCTATTTCAGGCATAGATGTGTTCCAGTCACACTCCCAGAGACCAGTGCAGCAACGAGATGCTAAGCGCTGGATTTCTGCTCAGGGCTTGACCATCTTTGTGGTGAGACTCTTCTGGGCCTAGGAGCAGCGTGTTCCCTCCCTGAAAGCAGGCCTGCCTAGAAGCCTAAGCCTAAGTCAGAAGTTAGCACAGAATTGAAGCAGGAGTCCTTGGTTGTGCTCTGGTGAGATGGATCCAGACCTGCCACCCAGATTAACCCTCTGTTGGGCAGGAGGCTGCAGCTCTCTTAAGATGGGCCCAGTGCTCCCATTTGGCCACAGTTCCCACCAGGCCTGCCCACTCTATCTAGAGCTTGCTTTAAGGTAACTAAAAAAAAAATCAATTTTATCAAGATTATGAATGATATACAATACAATGCTTCCGTTTTATATGTATCGTTTTGTGGGGGTTTTTACCACTCCAGTTGCTTATATGATGATTTCAGAGTTGAACCCCTAGAGGGCAATCTTACACCTCTTTCCTGGTTTCTAGGGCATTGCTCTGGTGCTGCCCGGCACCCTCTATCTAGTGCATTGCTGGTTGCTTCAGCTACTTTATCTCCCTCCTCGCCTTCACCCTGGGAAGCTGGGTGCTTCACTAGGGCAGCTCTGCCAGACTTCCAAGCCTTTGTTCTTTCTACCAAACTAAGTTGCTTTCTAGGTTTCACTACCAAAGGCTTTTCTGAAGGTTCTCTGACAAAATGCTAATTGTTGAATGTTTAAGAAAATAATAATTACAGCAACTGTTACTCGTTGAGTTCTACTGTATGCTAGGAATGATAAAGGGTTGTTTTAAACAGCTTATCTCCAATCCACATTAGCAAGTTAACCCTATTTTATAGCTGAGGAAACATGAGCTCAGAGAGGTTGTATTACTTGCCATGGTCAAGGAGCAGCTGATAGGCTAACTTGGTGATCCAGACTGGGAGTGTTCAGCTTTCACTTCTAGGGACACTTGGGGTGCAGGGTAGCAAAAGCTTCCTGGAGGGGAGGTGATGCTTCACTATCTCTGGCAGGATGAATGGGCGTTTGCCAAGTGGAAGTGGGGAATAGTTGGAAAAGTGTTCTATGTAGAGGGGAAAGCATGAGCAAAGTCTCAGAGGCACAAAGCAGCCTGGCTTCGGAGAGAACTGAAAGTGAGGCTGCTGAGTGGGGAGGGAGATGGTGTTGGCTTCCTGTGAGAGGTGAGACTGAAGTTGTCAGCAAGGACCTCTGATCTGGCAGGCCTTAAGACCTAGGGCCTTGAAGGCCTATGGAAGAGTCTGGCCTTTATTTTGAAAGTCAGTGTGTTTTAAAACTCTGCCGGAGAAGCCTTGGAGAGACATTCCCTGTCTTTTCTATACTCACGGGGACAGCTCTGCTTTATTGGATTCCTTTGCTTGGGTTTTGGTGAAATTTTTTTTGGAGAGAAAATTTCTTGGCCAAAAAATTAGTAATTCACCGCTGTCTGTGGTAGGAGCCTTTGAACAGGGATATGACTTGGCTAGACCATAGTCTGGAGACTCAGAGTTGGAGTGACTGGAGCCAGGCTTGAAGGCAAGGGTACCAGTTATGTCACCTGCAAAATGTGATTCCATTTATGTTCAGTCGTTGGACATGACTATTTTGAAGATGTTTGGTCCCATTTCCTACCTCCTCCTGCTCCACTGAGCTAAGAGAACAGCTTAGAATTAATATTTAAATTTTGTTCTCTTTTAGACTGATTGAGGAGTTGAAGCTGTCTTTGAAGAGCAAAAAAGCTTTAATTCAGTGCCTTAAAGAGGAGAAATCTCAGATGGCATCTCCTGATGAGAATGCATCATCTGGAGAGCTCCAAGGACTTTCTGCTGCTCTGAGAGAAGAAAAGCAGAGAGAAACTGAGGTAAGGTGATGGGACAGGAAGGGAGACTTTAACCCTCTATACTCTTCTTTGGGAAATGGAGTGTACATTCAGCCCTCATGGTTCACACACATACTGCTTCTAAATATGAGTTTCCTGTCAGCTGCAGATGAACAGAAACTGCTTTTGTCAGGGACCCTGGTGTTATTTTTTTCCCTTTCAGCCTCCTGTTTATGTAAAACGTTGATTAAAAAAAAGTCCCATACCTGCTTGCCTGTGTTTCACCATGTGTTGATTTGTTATTGCCTGGAGACTTTATTTTCATCCTTTGGGTTTTCTTAGGATACAGTTGTGGTGCATTGTAGAAGTCCGTTTTGCCTTTGTGGTTAGAGGTAGGCTTGAGGCCAACTTTGGTCTGCAACCTGAGAGGTAGTAGGGAATGGGAATAATCCATATTGGGCCTTGCAGTATGAGAGGGGATTCACTACCCCACTATGTTCAATCCTGCCAGCCATCTGGTGAGGTAGAGATCATGGTCTCCTTGTCGAGTTTACAAACAGGCTCAGAGGAGTTATATTTTTCCAGGCTCCAAGAGGTGGCTTAACTAGTAGGTGAACCCAAAACCTACCTGGACTCCTGCCCCTACACTAGGCAGTTTCCCCAGCAAGCCCATTTGAAGAAGGTGGGCAGGCTGGGGAAGTACAGGTAGGTCTTAGTCTAGGTTTTCCATTCTTGTTGGACCGAGAGTGGCTGCTGCATGTGCTACATTCACCTTGGGGATGTTCTGGATGTTCATGAAAAGTCTTAGTGTCTTCATGGAGTGGGGTCTGTGTCTCTGCCACAGCAATGAGTTCTGTGGCCTCGCCACTTAGGTTTCATCTATGCTTAGCTGTTCTCTCCTACCTTTCCTTTTAGCCCTCTTTTCCCTTCCTGGGAGGTGCCCTTTAGTAGGCCTTCATCTTGTTCAGCAGCACCTTGGTTTATTCTCTGTGGGGCTGGTCATCAACCACTGTGGGTTGCTTGTTTTCACAGTTTTCCTCACTCAAATTGGGTGGGACTTTGGGTGGGGCAGACAGGGAGGAGACACTTGTTTTAATCAGTTCCACAGTAATGAGGGAAAGTGAGTAAATGACATGCTTATGCTCATTGTTCTGGGGAAGCTATTGGATTGTGGGTCTCTTCTGGGCATCAATTAATACCTTTTCTTAGGCTGCACAAATGGACCTGCAGAAAGAAAGAAATCACTTTGAAGAGAGGATCCAGGTATGTTGATAAAGTTAAAAAATTTTTTTTGAAGATTTATCCTGTTCTTGCTTCTTGTTTTATTGAGTGCAACAGATAATTCTGTGTGACGATAACTGTCATTTATCACATGCAGCTGTATGCCAGTCAAGTATAAGGCATCTTAGAAAGAATTTCTCCATCTTTGCAATAACTCTGTGAAGTAGACGTTCCCATTTTATAGATGTGGTACCTGAGGCCCAGAGAGGTGAGGTCACTTGCCCAAGATCACATAACTAGGAAGAGGTAGCACAAGGATTCAGGCCTGTCTGTGCTCCATGCTGTGCTCAGTCACAGCAGCGGGCATTTGTGTACTGCCTGCCAGCTTAGAAAGTGCTTTCACATCCATTATCCCATTTGATCCTCACAACAACCCGGGAGGGAGGCAGTGGTGATTATCTTTAGAAATGAACTCAGACTGTAAATATGTAGTTCAGTCTCCATCAAAAGGAATGAAATTAATGATCTGTTATTTCCCCCAAATAACCTGATATGGTTTCAAAGACTCTGATGTGACTGTATTCAAATTCCAGAAGGCATTGGAATCCTTCCCATAGGAATAGCTGTCATCATCTTAACTGATCTGATCCCCTTCCCTTCACCCAGCCCTGTTGCCGTGAGCAGTAACACAGTAACTTGGAGCCGATGCCACTATGTTCAGCTTGGCTTGGAAACATTAATCACAGGTTGACAGGAATAAGATAGAATAACTGCATTTGAGTGTGCTCTTAAAGATATATTTACAGTGCATTTTGGTTGGAACGCATCAACTTAGTGAATCTTTCTCTAATCTAATTTAGGCACTTCAGGAGGACCTGAGAGAGAAGGAAATGGAAATTGCTACAGAGAAGAAAAATAGTTTAAAGAGGGATAAAGCCATTCAGGGTTTAACCATGGCATTAAAATCAAAGGAAAAAGAGGTATGCCTGATACACTTGAAGTGAGATTTTTCTTTATTAGCTTCTGTGACTGGCCTGTCCTACCCTGAATTTTTAGCTTTAGATAAAAAGTTTGTAAGAGAGCTGAGACAGCATAGAAAGTGAGGAAGTGATCTTTTAGTCAATTGGATATTCTTTTGGAGTGTCTAATCCAGTGCTGTCCAGTAGAAATATAATGTGAATTGCATATGTAATTTTACGTTTCTGGTAGCCACATTAAGAGATGTAAAAAGAAGCAGGTGAAATTAATTTGAATAATATGTACATTCCAAATGTAATCATTTCAACATATAATTAATATAACAAAAGTAATACTGAGGTATTTGACAATCATTTTTTTCAAAACTAAGTATTTGGAGCCCATTTGTACTTACATAGCACATCTTACTTCAGACTAACAGCATTTCATGTGCCAAAAGCCACTGTGGACAGTATTGGACAATGCAGGTCTAGTCTTTTGAAGGATAACAGAAAATTAAGTTAAAGGAGTTTTGGGAGGCAAGGCCTGGACTGTGAACTAGTTAGAGAGCTATCTAGGTTGTTGCCTTTGAAATCCAAGGTAGTGGCTAATGGTTCTGTGCTGTTTTCCTCTCGTTAGTACAGCAGTCTGTCATGTTCCAGTAACTATCCTAGGCATAGACAGAGAAGGAAACCCAGCCTGCTCACAAGTGTAGTGGGGAGTAAAGAGGATGGGTGTTGTGACTGAGGGAAGTACAGCAGGCTGGGGAGGCAGAGGGGACCTGAACCATGCGGGGTGTGGGTGTGGGATGTGAGGAGCAATGCTTAGAGCAGAAGGTGCTTGAGCTGCATCTTAAAGGATGAGTAGGAGTCATTTGGGAAGGAAGGCAGGGATGGGGACAAAGGGAGAACATTGGTTAAGGCATTAAGTTAGAAAAGAACCTGATATGCATCATAATTTGGAGTGATCAGAAGACACAGTACAAAACTTAAGGGAGGTGAGAGGAGAAACTGGAACAGTCGCAAGGGGCCAGTCCTTGGAGGAGGTAGGAGGGAGAACAATCATATTGAGCTGCTTGGCTAGCACTTAAGTCCACTAAAAGCTCTTGAGCAGAAGGAGTATGATCACATTTTCATTTTAGAAAGATCTTTGACCATAATCAGAGAGTGGATTGAAGGAGGAAGAGAATGGAGGCAGGGAGGCACATAGCTTAGTTGAGAACTAAGAAAGGCTGAATTGGAACAGTGGTCACAGCAAGCAGGAATGGAGGAGGAAGAGTTTATTTAATAAGTAAAATACGAAATAAAAAGCAAAATAAATTTGGGAAAATTATTTGAGGATTAGCTGTAGGACTTCAGAGAAGGAACAGTCAAAGGTGACGTCTAGGTGTCTGGCTCTCATGACTAGGGATATGGTGGTGCCACTGACTCAGTTCAAATCATGGATAATGGAGGCTGATAGTGAGAATAGGGGGCTGATGGGTCTGTTAAGAAAGCACTGACTTTGAGGAACCTGCAGACCATACAGGTGAGATGTCCAGGTTGCTGATATTTGAGTGTCTATTCCAAGCTTGCAGAGAGTGCAGGCCAGAAGAGGTTGATCTGGGAATCACCTGTATACATGTGTGAGTTAAAATTCTGAAAGTTGGCCTAGTTATTCAAGGGCAGTGCAGAATGGGAAAGAATTTGGCTGAGGATGGGATTGCAGGGGGCATCAGACTTTCAGGAGTAGGGAGAGGAATGCACAAAGGAAACAGAAGGAATGGATGCAGAAATAGGAAACTCCCCAGGAAACGGTAGTGTTGAAGCTAAAGGAGTGCAAGAGTTTGGATAACTACCAGTGTCAGGTGCAGTAGAGATTTGGCTCCTCATAGCAGTAGTCATAATTTGGAGTTCAAGGCCCAGCTGAGTCCTTCAGTATGTTGGGACACCAGTGGTAGAGCAGTTCTGGGTGCCAGCAGAGTCCAGAGTGTGGTCATGGTGGTTCATGGTTAATTCTAGGGTATAGGAGAAAGTCACCGGAGGATGAAGAATTCTTGGAATAGACAAGCTAGGTTATTGAGTGGGTCATCTATATGGACAATGGTGATGGCAACACCTAGTATGAGCCAGGCATGCTTTTAGCACCAATGCACATGGCCCCCTTTTACCTTGACAACACTGTAGCTGGGTGAGTGGTGGTGTCCTCGTTTTACAGTAGAGGAAATGGAGTCTCAAAGAGGTTAAGTACCTTGCCTGAAGTCATTCAGCTAGTTAAATAGCCAAACTAGAAATCCCACTAGGGTCTTTTCTGACTACAAGGCTCTTGGTTATAAGCACTCCACATTTGAGCAGGAAAGCATGTGGGCTGTGCAGGGAGAGGAGAGCCCAGTTGCATACTTGGCTACTATTTCTTATTTTTCCCCAGGTTGAAGAACTTAACTCTGAAATCAAAGAGCTCAGTTCTGCCCTTGCTAAAGCCAGAGAGGCTGCTAAAGCCAGAGAAGCTGCAGAGAAGGCACAGACCCAGAAATTCCAGGTAAGTGTTCACTTTGGCTTAAGTGGCTGTCTCTTTAATCCTGACTCCTGGTGAAGCGAGGACTTCCGCAGCTGAAAGGGACTTGGATGATTTTAATAAGGAAATCTGTGGGTGGTCTTTAGTGATAGAATTAGCTCAGTCTAATTAGGGGAAAGTTCTCCACCAGCTTTGGGCGCTTCTGGAGCCCCCTCCTCAATATTATAAAGATAATGAAAAGTACCCTCACAGGTTAGGAGTGCCAAGTATTGGTGCAAATGACATAGATTATGCCATATAATCTTCACAACACTGTGAGAAAGATAATTATCATTCCCCTTGTGTTTGTGGGGTTTTAAGAGCCAGCAAGGGTATGCGGCTTATTCACTGTCACACAGTTAGTGAGTGGCGGAGCCAGGATTTAAATATAGTAGTTGCTAATAATAGCAGCTGGCATTTATTGAACACATATTTGCTCCAGATTGTGCTAAGTACTCCCTATAGATAATCTCAGTTATCTGCACATCAACTCTATGAAATAGGCAGTGTTAATATCCTTATTTTACTGCAGAGGAAATAAGATTCAAGTATCTTGCTTAGGGTCGCCAAACTGGTAAGTGATAGAGCTAGGATTTGACCCTAGAGTCAGTTTCACTTCAAAGCCTGCATTTTTAGCTGTTGTCCCATACTTCCTCTCATCTGGCTGCTTTGGTCCTAGCTGCTTTCTTCCTTCCAGGATTGTGTTCCAGGCCTTGATGTTTTTAACTTGACTTTTCTTTCTTCCCCCTCCCCCCGCAATGTGGTACTGCAAGGATTCCTGCTGACCAACCAGCTCCTTGATCTTCCGTCTCTCTCCCTAATTTTAGTTTTGTGTCTTTAATTATTTTAACATTTTCTTATGATTCTAGTTTCCCTATACAGTTTATATCTATTATTAATAACTTAATGAATCAATTAAGTTCCATCATCAAAATAAGTCCATACTGCCTGAAGCTCCCTCTCCCCACCCCATACACTGATGTTGCTTTTGGTTATAAAGTAGAAGTTAGAAGTTAAATCTAGTTTAAGACTGTTTGACTCCCAAGATTCATATTCTATGCCTTATCTTTTGCAGAGCTTTGGTTCACAACAAGAATAGTTGGAGTAATTTGGTTTAAATCATGGTACGCTAGGAGCATAAATGAATCTCTGCTTCAGAGATCTCAGACTTGCCTTCTCCACTGTTTTAACAGTAGTTGATAAAATGGAGCTGAGATTATACTTTTTTTTTTGAGTTGGAGTCTCTGTCGTCCAGACTGGAGTGCAGTGGCCGCTCCCGGCCACCGCAGCCTCGACCTGCTGGGCTCCGGCGATCCTTCCGCCTCAGCCTTCCAAGTAGCCGGAATTACAGGCATGCGCTACCACACCCGGCTGATTTTTTTATTTATTGTAGAGATGAGGTCTTGCTGCCCAGGCGGGTCTCGAACCCGCGGGGGCTCAGGCAATCCACTCACCTCAACCTCCCAAAGGCACGGGATTACAGGCTGAGTCACCGAGCCCGGCTGAGATTATACTTTATACTGGTGTTTTTTCCTTGCTTAGAAAATAACAAGCTTTAGAAGCTGAATTCTTAGGAAAACCATGTTTTCCATTGCTTGGGGAAAAATAAATGTTGGCAATTGATAGCCAGAGAAACTAGACATACTTATTAAGTGTTGTATTTTACTTGGTATGTTGGGCCTTGAAGAAAAGAAAGGAATCTTGTAAATGTAAACGTTACCTGGATTTATTAGGCATATTTAACTTAATAGCCCTCAGTCCTTGTTGAAAGACTTAAAGAATGATTTTTGAGATCTTTGTTGGTCAGGTCTCTTGTCTTGTAGTGCACAGATGAGGAGCTGTCACAACTAATCAGATTAAACATGTCAGATTGGCTGTTCTGAGAACCCTCATTTAATTCTTACCCAAGAAGGTAGGAGGTTTAGGAACTTTACTGTGTCAGTAAATGCACATACAGTATACTTATATTGACCATTTCAGTGTGAGTGTACATAGTTTGAATGTTGCACAGATACTTGTAAATGCGCAGATACTTGTAAATTTCTTTCACGTATTGGGACCTTTTTGGGATCTCATGTGGTTTAAACTGATGGCAGCATTAGTAAAATAGCCAGAGTTCACAGGGGTGGCATTAAGCCTGCCAATGAAGCAACAGTAAGTGATATTTTAACTCTTGAAGTGGTTGCCAAGGTTCAGAAGCTCAGAGATGTGAAATCTAATCACAGGTATGACTTAGTGCATGTTACGGTGTGGACTGGCTCCTGCTACCTCCATACTCATTAAAAGATATATTTTCAAGTTGAAAGTAGCATCCCCTCCCCCAGCTATAAAAGTGGAAATTCACACTATAGAAAATTTATAAAATATTTAAAGTAGTAGAAGGAGGTGGATAGAAATCATCAACGCAATCACTGTTAAGGATGTTCACTGTTAATGCCTTGACTCTTTAAAGCATATTTATTCATATAAACTTTAAAAAATTAAATTGAATCATAGTGTGTATTTTGATCTATAACCTTTAAAACAAATCTAACATTCTTGCCATGGCAGTGTATATGAATCTACCCAGTCTTTTTTTTTTTTTGAGCTGGAGTCATACTCTGTTTCCCAGATGGAAGTGCAGTGGCACACTCACGGCTACTGTTAGCCTCGACCTGCAGGGCTCAGGTGATTCTTCCACTTCAGCCTTCCAAGTAGTTGGGACTACAGGCATGCACCACCATGCCTGGCTAATTTTTTTTATTTTTGCAGAGACAAGGTTTTGCTATGTTGCCTAGTCTGGTCTCGAACCCCTGGGCTCAGGCAACTCTTTCACCTCTACCTCCCAAAGTGCTGGGATTACAGGCATGACCCACGGCGCCTGGCATACCCAGTCTTTTAAAAAAATTTTTTAAACTTAAGTAAAAAAAAAAACTAAATTAAATTTAAAAATAAATTATTTAAAAAATTAATTTTTTAAAAAATAAAATAATTTAAAATAAAACATTTTTTTACCCACCATTGTAAACTCACATACATATTCTTTATGCTCTTTACTCAGTTCTCCCAAAGGCAGCATTTTGCATAATTGCAATATAATATCGACACCAGAACATTGACATGAATATCATCCACTGACCTTATTTGATTTTAGCAGTTGACATGCATCTTTTGTGTATGTGTGTATGTGTGTGCATATTTATTTCTGTGCTCCTCAATCTTTTTAAACAACTGCATATAATCCATTGTATGGATATACCATATTATTTTTACTGGGAAGAACATGAGGTAGGACATGGATTTGTATCTTGACTCTGCTTTTCACTAACTGTGTAACCTTTGGCAAGATAGTTGAACTCTCCCAGCTTGTTTATGCGTTGTAAAATCTGAATAATCACTCAAGGATTAAATAAGAAAGTGTATCTAGGGTACAATAAATGCTGTTAGCTCACCCCTAAATTAGGTGGTACCGTCTTCTTCTGGCACAAAAATATAGTACTTTGTTTTTTTTTTTAATTCTTGGATAATGGTTTTATATACATAGCTTTTGGTTTTAGAAACCTGTTACTTTTTGATTGGAAATGAAAGATCATGGAGTAAGTGAGGGAAAAGGGGAACCCGATTTATTCATCCTGTACCTACTGAAATGGCACTTTGTGTATCACATTTAATTTTCACAACAACCTTATGAAAACAGGATATTATTTTCCATTTCACAGATGTACATATGTTTGATAATCACATATGTATTTTCTCTACTGAATTGTGTATTGATGAAATAAAGATGTTCTTGACTCATTTAATCTCGGACTTCGCTGAAGTTATAGCTTCTCAGGGTGGCCATTACACTACCATGCTAACCACTTCTTTTTCTCCAGATGGCTCTGAGTTTGAGCTGTTCTAAACGTAGATGAACATTGCAAGTGCTTGGATACATCTCTGCTTTTGGTCAACCTAAGTACCCTATAAAAGAAAATGATACTTATTTGGGAATAGGCATTGCAATGAGAATATATGTGCCATAGTAAATTATGTGCATATTCAGAGAGGTAAAGGAAGACAAAGCTTTTTTAAAGGAAAAATAAGGAGGATTACATAATTGTTTTGAGATAATTTCCTTGGCTACAACAATCAATAACAAGGGTGATACCAGTTCAAAGTTGGACAGACAGTTGCTGGGCAGATGTCTTTCTAGAAGTATTTTTTGTATAAGGTTGTGATGGCCTTTGTGCAAGGTTGTGGTTTTTTAGTCTTTTATGATAGTTTTTATCAGGCATTTATGCACGAGAACTCTCTTCATAGCTTTCTCTGACTCTATTTGTCAAGGTTTTCTTTTTTTTTTTGAGACAGTCTTATACTGTCACCTAGGAATAGAGTGGCTTGATCATAGCTAACAGTAACCTTGAACTCCTGGACTCGCTTCCCACCTCAGCTTCCTGAGTAGCTGGAACTATAGGTGTGTGCCACCACACATAGCTAATTTTTGGAAAAAAATTTTTTGTAGAAATAGGGTCTTACCATATTGCCCAGACTGGTCTTAAATTCCTGGCCTCAAGCGATCCTCCTACCTCAGCCTCCTAAAATGCTGGGATTACAGGTTTGAGCCACCATGCCTGGCATATACCATTTTTTTTTTTTTTTGAGTTGGAGTCTCACTCTGTCGCCCAGACTGGAGTGCAGTGGCCGCTCCCGGCCACCGCAGCCTCGACCTGCTGGGCTCCGGCGATCCTTCCGCCTCAGCCTTCTGAGTAGCTGGGACTACAGGCGCACGTTACCACACCCAGCTGATTTTTTGATTTATTGTAGAGATGAGGTCTCGCTGCCCAGGCGGGTCTCGAACCCGCGGGCTCAGGCATTCACTCACCTCAGCCTCCCAAAGGCGCGGGATTACAGGCTGAGCCACCGAGCCCGGCTGTCTACCATTTTTTAAAATGACTTAATTTTTTTTTAAGCCGTTGTAATAGTAGCATGCTCTCATATCTTAGAAAATACAAAGAAATGAAAAAAAAATTAACTGTAGTCCCATGCAACTAAAAACAGTTACTGTTAACATTTTGTGATTTTTTTCTAGTCCTTTAAAAAATGCTTCTTTTATACAACTGTAGGCTTTGCTTCCTTAACATCAATATCATAACAATCATTATCCTGTGTTATTCTAAAATCTTTGTATTATTTTTGCCTTGGATTCTGAATGTTATCTATGTTAATCTTTTTGCTTCCCTTACCCCGTGAGAAGAAAAAGGAGCCTAGATTTCTTGGTTAGTTTAATGAGGTGGGAGAATCTTGCCTCTCTTCCTTCTCTTCTAGGCGCCTGAAAACTGTGAGGCAGCTCTGTCTGGAAACGACACCCTTTTGGCTGAGCTGCGCTCAGAAAACCTCACCAAGAGTACGGAGAACCACAGACTGCGTAGAAACATTAAGAAGGCCACCCAGGAGCTGAGTGATTTGCAGGAGGAGAGGGAGAGACTCAAGAAGAACCTGGAAGAAACCCATCGAGAGAAGAGCCAAAGAGACTGCATCATCCATGTGAGTACTGACTATTCTGAGAGTGGGCAGTGCTTTTGGGCTGGGGCTGTGTGGCCGTTTCTAGTGATACGGTGAGATGCAGTACAGAAAACTTAGAAAAATCTGGAAAATACAAAGAAAAAAATATTTCACTCATTGTCTCATTACCTAGAAATGACCAGTTTTAAAACTATTTGATGTTTTTGTCTTTTTATTCTCTCCCTCTCTGTCTCTGTTTCTTTCTCTATCTCTGTCTCTCTCTCTCTCTCTCTCTCTCTCTCATTCACACACACACACACACACACACACACACACACACACACACACACACACTCTTTATAGGTATCAAGCTGAAGATACAGTTTTGTATCCTGTTTATTTTATTATTTTGAGACAGGGTTTAGCTGTATCATCTAGGCTAGGGTACAGTGGCATGGTAGCTCACTGCAGACTCAAACTCCTGGGCTCAAGCAATCTTTCTGCCTCAGCCTCCTGAGTACTTAGGACTGTAGGCATGTATCCCCATGCCTGGCTAATTCTTAACATTTTTCAAGAGATTGAGTCTCACTGTGTTGCTTTGGCTGGTGTCAAACTGGCCTCAAGTAATTCTTCTGCCTTGGCTTCCCAAAGTTCTGGATTACAGATGTGAGCCATTATGCCCTGCCTATCTGCTTTTTTAAATTCGTTGTTCTGTCTTTGGTGTGTTGCCATATCATGGATGTTCTTCAAAAACATTATTTTTGGTGCCACCATGATATTTCAACACTTGAAATTACAATTTATTTAACTACTTACTGAAGAGCCATTTAAGTCATTTTACCTTTTTTTGCCTTATAATAAATTCTGCAGCAAATATCGTTGTCTATAAATATTTATCTATAGATTTTTTTCTTTTTCTTCTTTTTTTTTTTTTTAATGAGCTCTCACTGTGTTGCCCAGGCTGGTCTTGAACTCCTGGACTCAATGGACTCAAGCAATCCTCCCATCTCAACCTCCTGAGTAGCTGGGATTATAGGTGCATGCCACTGCGCTTGGCTCACTGATTATTTCTGATAGAAATATAATAACTGAATCAAAGAGTATGGATATTTTAACATATAGATATGCTCAAGTTCTCCAGAAAGATTGTTTTCTGAATCTTTCTGAATCGGAAAGGTTTTTTTATGTGATCTTTTTATATGACTATGCTCTATTCAGCAATAGGTATTAGCATTTAAACCTCTCTAAATTTGGTAAGCTTATTAAATTTCAATTCTATTTAAACTTAGGTATTTAGCATCTTTTAATTTAGTACCTCCTGAGAGTCATATCTAGATACATAGCCTTGGTGCAATCAGGATTGGGATCTGAGTGATCATTGGCATGCAGGTTAATTGAATTACCTGCCTTTGATCTTGGGGCAGGCAGAGTTCTCAGAGTAGAGGACTCAAAAGAGAGTTTACAGGTACCAGTGGTTGGTTTTATGGTGGCTGCTGGTGGTAAGGACGCCATGATCCAAAGTTTGAAGTCCCAATGTTATCACTGAAGAAAAAATTGAAATACAAATGTTTATATCTTTATAAAAAGTTAACATACTTATGGGAGCAATAAAAGAAATTTAGAAAAATAGGAAAACACTAGTTGCAGTTCTACTATCCTAACAAAATAACTATTTCTGCACTTCATTATTACCTTTCTGTCCTGTTGCACACGAATTCCTGGTTTAATCAGAGGCTAAGTACTATTCTGTATCCCTTCATCACTTAATCTATCATATGCACCTCCCCATATTGTATAGGCTCCAGAATGATCATGTTGAATTATCTTTCTTTCTTTTTTTTTTTTTTTGAAACGGAGCCTCACTGTGTTGACCAGGCTGATCTCGAAATCCTGGTCTCAAGTTATCCTCCTGCCTCAGCCTCCCAAAGTACTGGGATTTAGTGAGCTACCATGCATAGCCTGAATGGTGCATATGCTTTTGGGCATAAAGACATTTTCTCTTGGAATCCCTAGGACAGATTCTGTGAGATTAGTGGGTCAGATGGTGGAAATATTTTATACTGTCAAATTATTTGTCTAAGGATGGGCCCATTTTATGCTGCCACTAGCAGTGTTGGAATATATCAGTTTTTTGTATGTTATTTTAAAAAAATATATAATTTTAAAGATGTGGGGTACAATTCAGGGTTAGGTATACAAATGTTCGTTATGCAGGTATTCTTGTTGATGAGGTGTTCCTCCCCCATCTCCCGGCAATTTATTGCTACTGCCAATCACACCCTCCCTGGCAGTTTCCCACTACTTTTACATGTTATTAAAAGACTTGTTTCTCATATTTATTAATGCTATTAAACACCAAATGAATCTGGTTTGGATGCTGCTGGAATTTCAGTGGATAACTTCTAAAAGTTTTCCTTTTTAAAAAAATTTTAAAGATGTGAGGTACAGTTCAGGATTAGGTCTACAAATGGTCTTTGTACAGGTAAAGAGTTTTATTTTTCTAAGGGAAGTGAAGATGTTATACATGACAAAATGCAAAACTGGTTAAAATCCACAGCTAATTAATGCAACGTATATTTAGTGTAAATGATCTTTGTGGAATGGAGTGGTCAGGCAAATCTTCTAGGAGGTGCTGACACTTGAGTTGAATAAGAAGGGTAAGAGCTGAGCAGCATGCTTTTATGGATGAGGTAAAGAAAAGTCTGGGGGCAACCCCTTCGGATCCCCTCCCACTGTGGGAGCTTCTCTGTCCTCTCAATAAATCCTGCTTACTCAAAAAAAGAAAAAAAAAGGTCTGGCTAGAGGACTCTTTTAAGAATTGCAGTTTTTATAGTCAATTCTTATATCCTTCACTGTTAGATGATAGTTTTTGTAGTTTAAAATGGTTGCTCCCTAATCCCCATAATAAAAATGACCATTCAGTATAATTTGGATGGCAGAAGATATATATATGAGAGAGGACGGCAAAAACAACGGAAATTATCTTTTGGAGGACAGGCTTCTTATAGTACAGGTTTCCCCCACTATGTAAGTATTGTAGGAATCCATTGGCATCAGTGTATCAGCTAGCATTATTTGTGAGAGGCTGTGTTCAGCTTCAGTGAATCTTTTTTGGGGATTATTTCAGTGTGTTTGCCCATTTCATGATGGGTGATTTATGAGTGCACCTGCCCACACAGCACTGAGTGTTTAGCAGTTTTTGACCAAAAACAGCATAACCCCTATGCACCCGATCTTACCCCAAGTGACTTTTTGATTCCCCAATGAAAAAAGTTCTCAAAGGGAAACGTTTTGCTGATGTGGAAGAGGTGAAACAAAAAATGGCAGAAGCACTAACGGGCATCAAAACTGACGAGTTCAAAAACTATTTTGAGCAGTGGAGAAAGCATCTTGATAGGTGTATTGCATCAAACGGAGAGTACTTTGAAGGTGACTGAAGTTTGAACATGTAAGAATATAATAAGTACACGATTTTTTAATAAATAAATTTTGTGTGTTTTTTTTTAGTTCTTCCTCATACGTGCATGTGCACACGTGTGCATGCACACACACACGCGCACACACACACATATATACATATAATATGCAATTTTTTTCTACATTATAACTTAATCTTGGTAAGCATTTGAAATGGCTGTATAACATTACATCAAGTGGAGATGCTGTAATTTTCTTATGTATCCTTCAATTGTTAGATGTTTGCTGGTTTTCTAATTCACTTATTTATGTAGTTGTTTCTAGAAGAATTTTGGGCTGCTGTGGGCAAAAACATGTATTCCTACATTACATGTATCTATCTTCGTAAGGTGGTTACAATATTTGGCAAGGAATGGAAGGGGATTATGGTGGCAAGAGGGTAGTACTCAGGTGAAATATACTATGGGTGGGATTTTCTTGTGAGTGTCAGAAACCCAACTTGAATTAATTTTGGCAAAAAGGGAACCTTATTGCCTTGTGTAACTAAACTGCTCTAAGGACAGAGGCACTGGGACATTGCCAGCTTCTTTTTCTTACATCCCTTTACTTCTGTTCTAAGTGGTTGGATCCCTTGTTGCTAGCCCTGCTGGAATCATGTCAGTTTATTGCAGAAAAGGAAGGAAGACTCTCACTTTCTACTACCCTGACTGGCTTTCTGTCAGGCAGGTGAGGTACTGAGAAGCCCAACTAGGGTTACAGGTCCATCGTGCTTTGATAGAAGAGGGAGCGAGAGACAGAGGAGTATACATCACTGGCAGCCTCCTGTAGAGCTGCATGTTTGGAGGGGCTTGGGTAAGTACTCAGAGAAAGTGATATTTTGTCTCAGAGCACTGGACAGACTAAAACAACAGCTGTGCTCTCTAACTGCCTACCTCAAGTGAGCTTTCCTGTGACTCAGAGCTTCTTGGCATCTCATTGTGACTACTTTTATAGATCAAGTTATATATATGTTTCTGACAAGATGATTTGACCATGGTATCCTTTTTGTATATACATTGTATCACAATCATAACTCTAGTTAACTTTTGTTTATAGTCTTAAGAATTTGGATGTATCCATCTCACATGATGGACCAGATTTAGTAGGTATTGGCTTGTTCGGAATCTAGGGAAACTTGGTAGGGTGGTGTTTTTGCTTTATGGTGCTAGGATAAATGCACAGGTAGAAGCATAGCCCACAAGCCTTGCATATCTTATCAACTTGTTTCTGTTAACCAGGCTCCTTATTTAACTAGAGCATCTCCCACTCACCAGCTGCTACTGGTATTGCTTTTAGATGGAAACAAACGGACAAAATCCAGACCTTATAGTGGTCTCTATTTCTGCCCTGGCAAAGGGAAGGAATGCATTCATACATTTGGCAACATTGAACACTCTTCATGCCCTCTAGTAGGCATGGGGACAATTCCCTAACAGATATGAACATGCTTCCATAGGAACACAGAGAGAGGAAGTGGCTCGCAGGACCATAGAAGCCTCCTAAGGAAAGCAGCTTTTGAACTGCTCCTGAAGTTTGAATTAAAGATTAATAGGTAGACAAGGGAGAGAAGGGTTTTGAAGGTTCAG